AATCCCAGCGAAATATGAAGACGATGACATTGCTACATACGGCATATTGCTTGTTTTGATTGCATGGTGTATATTATATTAATATTTGAGCAAAGGGGGAACTATGAATGGACAGCAGAATTCCGGAGCAGATGGAAGGAAGCGTACACGGAACTTTGTGAAGGTAATATTGTAAAGTGGTGATGGAAATGCATTTGGTTTAGCTCGGATTCCTGATATATCATCACTACATATTATTGGCAGTTCTATGACTATCGTGTCTTTGTTGGATTTGTAGATGTTCAGGGCTTCTGCCTTCATTTTGTATAAAATATATATGTCCTTATAGACACACACACACACACACACACACACACTGTGACAACGGCCTAACCTTCTCCCTGGCACATATTGATACTTATATTTAAAACTCGTATATAACTGTATGATTGTAGGATCTGCTGACCTCTACGTTTCCATTCTTTGGCCAGTGGTGAAAGCCACAGAAAGGCGTCAAATGATGATAACATTCCTGAAAAAAGATGGGTAACGGTTTCGTTTCTGGGCTGAAATGTATATAGAATGTATTCCGCGTCCACTCAATCTGGGATGTATCTCGTGACCTACGTTCATTTACTGGACTATGCATTCAATGTAAGATCAGAACAATTTCCTCTTTTTATTGTGCTCACACACGTTAAATGAAGCTTCAATCGTCATAACAAGGAGTCCTTTTTTCCTGAAGGATGTGGCCCCTATGGCCAGGACATATATTCTGACCAGCCACGGGGTCAGGCAGAAGAGTGTGCAACCAGGCCATGTGGTCAGGTAGGAGAATGTGCAACCAGGCCATGTGGTCAGGTAGGAGAATGTGCAACCAGGCCATGTGATCCGGCAGAAGGGTGTGCAGACAGGTCATGTGGTCAGGCAGGCCATGTGATCAGGCAGGAGGATGTGCAGGCAGGCCATGTGGTCAGCCTGGAGGGTGTGCAGACAGGTCATGTGGTCAGGCAGGAGTGTGTGCAGACAGGTCATGTGGTCAGCCAGGAGGGTGTGCAGACAGGTCATGTGGTCAGCCAGGAGGGTGTGCAGACAGGTCATGTGGTCAGGCAGGAAGGTGTGAAGACAGGCCATGTGGTCAGTCTAGAGAGTGTGCAGGCAGGCCCTGTAGTCAGGCTGGAGGGTGTACATGCAGGCAGTGATGTCAGAGTGGAAAGTATGCAGTGTGGTCAGAAAAAAAAGATGTGCAAGCAAGTCCGTTGTGCTGCCAGGCTACATGGTCAGGTGTGCAGCCAGACCATGAGGTCAGGCACAGTAGAGGGTATGGATGCAGGCAGTGCAGTCAGGGCCTGGAGTATGCTGTGTTGGATTGCAGTGTTTTCTTGTATCCAAGGCATGTTGTAGGCTTCAGATACGGCTTCTTGGCAGGTTCCTGGACTCAGGGTGAGAGAACACATGGGGCTTGGACACCTTGTGTGCAGTAATAGTGCAGAGGTCAGAAAGTGAGCTTTATCAATGAAAGATGGAGGATCATGCGAACAAAGACTCATGTGAATGATGTCATCAGCATGAAGACACTCCCCAAAGCACGCATATTACTAAAGGGGAGACAGGATTGGGAGTGCCAAAGGGGCACATTGATTCTTCAGGAGTAACGGCGATCCTAATACTGGTAACGGGACATATTTGGGCTGCGTTGTGGCCCGGAGAACCATCGCACACCCGGAATTATTTCAGTTTTGATTGCATCTGGAAATAAAACTAGACACAGAGGACAGGTAATAACTGGGACTGGAGGTCAGTATGGAGGACAAGAAACATTACAGGTCAGAGGTCCCATTTATTTGGTGCATAGCTTTCCATATTGCATAGAGGGGGAGATACAAAACACAGAAGGCGATGAAGGTGCCGCATAGTCAGCAATACGGCCTCGGGGAGGACAATATCTGAGGCTCGGATACATCCCAAACCCTACCAGGCCTGCCCGTGCACAGAGGGGGTCTTCTTTTGGGGTGATCCGGGATAAGGCCACGCACCACTACTGCTTCATTATAGAAGGTTACTGAACTGGTTTATGAAGGAGAGTTTTAAATAACATCCATGTGTTATTATGTAAAAGTTTTCCGACTTATTAGAAAAAGTATAAAAAGGAATACAAGTTCGCCCTAAAGCCCAACTCTGGGCAAACGGACTGACTGTTCGGACACGCTTGTAAACCGCACACCCCTGACAGCTTCTGGACCTCCTTTAAGACTATATTGAAGCTAAGCAAAGTTGACCTGGTCCAGGGCCCACACCCTCCCTCATTCTGAGATTGGACAGTGAAGGAGGAGCCGTGTAGTGATGAGGTCATCCTTCTGCTCACATCGCCTGCGAGCATGCAAAAGAATCCTGACTGGCTCAAAGTGCTGATTCTCCCACTTCTAGTTTAAGTGCTGCTGTACAGGGAATTATAGAAGGCCGGTGTTAAGTCACATGTAAGAACCTAACAGGACCAGTATGTGAAATACACTTTATTATTTTAGATTAGATTTAAATATTTGCCCGAGTTCTGGTTTAAGCTTTGCGATATTACATTTTCTACAAGACAGTTGTATTTGGTGGCAGTCATTTTTTCAGTATAGTCTGATCTTTAATCTCATGAATGTTATTAGAGGAACTCCCTTTCATAAAGTTTTATTTGGTGTTTTTTAGTGCTGGGGTGACCACAGCACAGAGCTCTGGTAATGGGAGACATCTGGGCTGACCATGGCTCAGAGCTCTGGTAATGGGAGACCTCTGGACTGACCATGGCTCAGAGCTCTGGTAATGGGAGACTTCTGGGCTGACCATGGCTCAGAGCTCTGGTAATGGGAGACCTCTGGACTGACCATGGCTCAGAGCTCTGGTAATGGGAGGCCTCTGGGGTGACCATGGCAGAGAGCTCTGGTAATGGGAAGCCTCTGCTGTGACCATGGCACAGAGCTTTGGTAATGGGGTGCCCACAGCTCTAGTAATGGGAGGACTCCTGGTTTGGGTGACCACAGCAAAGGGAGGCCTCGGGGGTTGGCCACGACACAGGGCTCTGGTAATGGGAGGCCTCTGGTGTGACCATGACACAGGGCTCTAGTATAGGAAAGCCTCTGGGATACCATGGCACAGGGCTCTGGTAACGGGAGGCCTCTGGGTTGGCCACAGCACAAGGATTTGGTAATGGGAGGCCTCTGGAGTGACCATGGCACAAGGCTCTGGTAATGGGAGGCCTTTGGGGTGACCACAGCTCAGGGATCTAACAATAGGAGGCCTCTTGGATGACCAAGGCACAGGGCTCTGGTAACAGGAGGCCCTTGGGATGACAACGGCACAGCGCTCTGGTAACAGGCGGCCCCAGTCCAGCTGGGACCATGGCTATTTTCCTGTTAAACATGATGGGGTCCATAATTTCCCCTCTGTCCCATTCACTGGGTCAATACTGGATTCTATAAATCAAAAGAACTATAAATCCCTGCTACTCCTCATCACTGCAACAGTCTCTCAATCCAGGATATTAGTGAAGGTTTCTTTCACCAGCATAAGATGTCAGCGATGAGCCATATTGTCCATCAGCTGGTTAAGTACTATGGGTGGTACTCTTCAAAATTATGAGAGCATTCCTCCTAATCCAGGGCTCTCACCTCTGGACTTGAACATGGTGATGGCGCTGGTCATTTCTTCAGGCCACCAGTCTGAGGTTTTTTTTCACTGCAGATCCTCCAGTTTCTTTTTGACATCAGTTCAATTTTCTGCCCAATCATCTCTAGCCTCGTCTGCCCAGAAACAAGTTCCTTCCCTATGAAGGACTCCCTGCTCCTGCTCCCTATACGGGTCTTCCTCTGCCTCCCTGCAAAGCACCGGTACCGCCTCTGTAAAAGGGACATTCCTACAGGGGTCGTCCTCCTTTTCCACCTCTCCGTTAAGAACCTGTATTGGTTTTCTAGAAGATACCATATCCTGCTCCTTCCTATAGGGGTCCTCCTCTGCCACTTCCTCTACCTTCCTATAAAGAACATGCACTGTCTTCCTACAGGGTACCCCCTGCTGTTTCTCTTCACTGTAGAGCTCCTTCTCCTTTCTCCAAGGAACCTCTTCATTCTCAACGTGCCTGCAAGGGTTCTCTTCTGCCACTCCTTCTACTCCTTGGTAAAGAAGCTGGGCTCCCTTCCTGCAAGAGACTTCCTCCTGCTCCTTCCTGTAGAGGACTTTCTCCTTCACTCTGCAAGCAACCTCCCCTTCTCTATAGTGGACATCCTCCGCTCCCCTGCTAAGAAGCTCTCCTGCAAAGGAGACCATCTCCTGGTCCTCCATGTGAAGGACCTCTGGCTCCTCTCTACAAGGAACCTTCTCACTACTGAAGAAATCTTCATGTATTTGCTTTTTCCTACAGGGATACCCTTCTTTTTGCTCTCCCCTGTGGAAGACCGCCCCCTGACTCCATGAGACTTCCCTTTTGTGTTTCTCCCTATAGAGGACCTCATCGTCTTGTCTCTCCCTATAGAGGACCTCATTGTCTTGTCTCTCCCTATAGAGGACCTCATTGTCTTGTCTCTCCCTATAGAGGACCTCCTCTTCCTGCTCTTTCCTGTAGTGCTCCTCCTCTAACCCCCAGTAAACAAAATGCCCCCCTTTCTCCAAAAGGACCTCTTCCACCTTTCTGTAGTGGGCATTCTCTGTTTCCGCATAGGTGGCTTCTTCTACTATGGGGTGGTTTTCACCAACAAATGTTCCAGTCTTTGCTCCATGATCTCCTGCTGGAGATTCTTCCACATTCTCTCCGCTTAACCAGACTCCACCTCGTCCTCCTGCTTCTCCCTCATCAGAATCAGACTCCTCAACAACTTCTTCTTCCTCGTCATCCCTGACCACAGCCCTCACTGGCTGGTGACACAGGGGACAGGTGTCCTGGACATACAGCCATTTCTTCAGACAGTCGGCATGGAAGAAGTGACCGCAGGTGGTGATGACAGCGATAGACATCTCCTGCCGGATCAAAGAGATGCACATTATCACAATGTAATACTGTATGTAGAGATCGGGACCCTATAGAGGACCTCATTGTCTTGTCTCTCCCTATAGAGGACCTCCTCTTCCTGCTCTTTCCTGTAGTGCTCCTCCTCTAACCCCCAGTAAACAAAATGCCCCCCTTTCTCCAAAAGGACCTCTTCCACCTTTCTGTAGTGGGCATTCTCTGTTTCCGCATAGGTGGCTTCTTCTACTATGGGGTGGTTTTCACCAACAAATGTTCCAGTCTTTGCTCCATGATCTCCTGCTGGAGATTCTTCCACATTCTCTCCGCTTAACCAGACTCCACCTCGTCCTCCTGCTTCTCCCTCATCAGAATCAGACTCCTCAACAACTTCTTCTTCCTCGTCATCCCTGACCACAGCCCTCACTGGCTGGTGACACAGGGGACAGGTGTCCTGGACATACAGCCATTTCTTCAGACAGTCGGCATGGAAGAAGTGACCGCAGGTGGTGATGACAGCGATAGACATCTCCTGCCGGATCAAAGAGATGCACATTATCACAATGTAATACTGTATGTAGAGATCGGGGCCTGAATCTTATGTCTTAGTTTATGCAAATCTTGCTGTCCTTAGGCACAAAGGTCTTATGGGTAAATTATATCTTTGCATAACAACATTTGAACGTGGACCTGTCCCTTTGTCCATTAAGGTAAAGCAACAAGTTCTCTTCTACCCTACCGTTTGCCCACCAGAGCCCTGAGCAATAAGCCCTGTGTAAGCTCCATGTCAGTGTGTGTTGGGGATTACACACGGCCAAGGAGCCTCTGTGTTGGGCCTAAAGATTGTCCACCCAGACACCAAGTTCTACATCTAAATCGGAAGAGGTGGCCATCAGATGAACAGGTAACCTTACCTTTAATGGGCAAATACGAGTATGTATGGACAACTTACCTTTGCTACAATTGTCCTTTATTCAATTCCCCCAAACCAATAAATTCTGGCTCGAACACTTACCTTCCACCTCGATCCAGAGATCTTCGCTGTGCCTGGAACCGTATACACCTTTGCAGCAATCATGTTCCTGTCAATATTCCCCTTAAAGTGCCTGCATGCTGTGGCCCCATTCATTCCCATGGGCAAGCCGTACTCATGCGTATTCCAGTACAACGTACTCATTGGAACGAGCAGAGCTGCAGTGTGAATGAAAGGCTAGAAGAAGACACTTATCCTGGAACGGCTGTGTGATGTATGTGTATGGTGTATGTACATGGGAGGCCCTAGGTTTAACCCCTTGCAGTCCGCCCATTGTAAAAATATGGACGGACGTACATGTATGTGATTCTTTTTTTTCTGCGGGCGTGCACGATCAGAATCCCGCCGGGAAGGTAAACAGCTCGGTCAGCAAGTGGTTTAACCCCCTTTCATCCTGTATATGTAGGAGCACAGCGCATAGAATTGCTGTGTTGTTCTCAACACAGCAACGCTCAATCAGCAACCCCAGAACTGTCATTCACCAGCAGCTCAAGGTCAACTACTGACTATCTGGAGCCAGTAGGATGAGTTCCTGATTACGTCATGTCCAGTCAACCACAGCGAATTAATGAACGGGTGCCCCTCCTAGTGGCCTCACGTCCCACTTAAAGGGTCGGCTCCTGCAGGCATCAAGGGGTTAAAGCCCATCTTCAGGTAAATATTAGGCCCACTTCCAACCCCCCACCCGTGTAGCCTTTTCTTCTTCTTACCTTATAAAGAAAGATATATTCACCTTTATCGGGTCCCTCCGGTTATGGCAGCAAAAAGTTTTCCCAGCACACTCACAAGCCAGCATGCAAAAAAACTTGTCTCACCGCTAAGGTCTAGATACACGTCTTCTGCAGAACATGTGAGAGCCGCACTGCCGCGCCAAGGCACCTCTTATAGTGCGGTCCTAACTCTAAAACTATGAGAGTCTCCATCTTGGAGCACATGTAGCAAAAGATCAAATTGGCTGCAGGTTCACCAGGAGGAAGTCCAACCTCCTTAAAAGCACAGGGACGCACAAGGGACCGCGCACATCACAACGGCAGCTGAGACCCCCCCATGCGCCACTGCACCGAATCAGTCAAGCAAAACAAATGCCAAACGCACTCATGATTGATGAGTGCGTTTGCCATTTGTTTTGCTTTCCTCCAGGTATGGGGAACCGCTAGTCCATCTCTGAAGATGTGCCCGCGCCGGCCGGTACCCTACAGTCTCCTTGCGCCAAGGAGAGAACCCCGCCAATGGACAGCCAATAGTAAGTGTCCCCGTCATGCAGGCAAAACACCAAAAGAAGGATCCTGCCTACTGTAGATGGAAAATGGGCGATGAACCGGGACAGAAGCGTCATGTGACCAAAGCTTTATGTAGGTAAAAAGGGAATTGGGGTATTTTTGGTTCAGTTAGAGGGGTTATACATGTGCCTGGAGATGGTCTGTAACTTTCCGACAACCTATAGACCATATAAATGATCCTCATACATAAACAATACAAAATACATTAAACAAACTTCAAGCTTGCCCACAACCCCCCTTCACCTGGAAGCAGATGGAGCAGACATCGTTGTGGGCCCTCAGCTCCTCCTCGGTGGCCTTAGGCAGGTGGCTGATCTTCTTGGCGGCCTCTCTGCGGAGCAGGAAGCTCTTCCAGCCGGACTGCGCCCTCAGCCAGACGTTGAAGTAGGAGTGGACGATGATGACCGACACGCCCATCCAGCTCCACTCCCCGAATACGGACTCCCAGGTGCCGTAGGCCACCACGCACAGCGCCACCAGGAACTCCAGCACCCGGCTGACCGCGTTCACCCCGTAGATGATCTCGTCCATCCGCTCCACCCTGCTGTCCTGGAACAGCTCCATCATGAAGAGGGCGTAG